TATTCAGGGGAAATTATTTTAAATTTTGTTTTTGTTTCTCATTATCCTGTATCTCTTGTGGTGTATTATTTAATAAACAAGCACCACCTAAAGTTGATAGACTTTCATTTTATCCCACACAAAGATCAAACATCATTTTAAAATAGATATGAAGACATCAAAAAGCAATTGTTGAAAAACAGATGGGTTGTGGGATGACATCAAGTATATCATCCATAAAGAGAGCAAAATGTCATTTCATAGACAGAAGAGAAATAAAAACCCAAAAATAATGTCAGGAGAGACTGTGAAAATCCCTCTACAGAAACAAGAAGCCAACACAAACGGAAAAGATGTTGAAGTAAAAGAGCTAAACAGAGGCTCCCAAAAGGCAGTATGAGAAGACAAAGTAAAATACTTTATTGAGATTTAGAGAGCTAGAATTTGGAAATAAATCTTAAGAACATGCTCAGCATTTCTCAAGTTGAAAGAACAGCAAAACAGATTTAAGCATTGATTTGTAATGCTGGGAGATACTATAAGCAAAATCTTGATTGATCCAGAAAGCATCAAAAGAAGAAGGGACTAAACAGAGTCAGTATATTAAAAAAAAAAAAAAAAGACACTGAAGTATTTGAGGAAGTATCATGTAATCAAGATTAAGAGGCAGTGGCAGAAGAAGTTCAAGCTGCACTAAAGACATTGTAAAAAATGTGAAGTCCCCAGGAATCAAAGAGATATCAGCTGATATGTTCCAACTAACAGTTGCATCCCTGAACATGCTATCAGTCTATGTGAGCTAAAACACTTTTAGGACAGCTGCCCTTTCAAGTGACTAAAAGAGAACCAAGGTGGGGTGTTCTGTTGTTTGTTTTTGTCTTTGAGTTTTGTTTGTTTTTTTGTTTTTGTTTTTGTTTTTTTCCCCCATTCCTAAGAAAGGTAGTCCAGCAGAATATTGAAATTGTGAAATAATATCATTATTATCACATGCAAGCAAAATGTTACTGAAGATCATCCAAGACCATCTAAAATATTACATTGACGGAACTGTCAGAAGTTTAAATGGGGGTAATAATAGGTCATAGCACCAGAGATAACAATCTTGATGTCAGATGGATTCTGGCGAACCGCAGAGGATATCAGAAAATGTCTATTTGTTTATGTTGACTATGAAAAGACATCTGACTCTGAGATCATGTCAAACTATGGCTAACATTGAGAAGAATAAGCATCTCAGAAAAATTATGTTCGTATGAAACCTACACCTACAACAAGAAGCTGTTGTCTAAACAAAGCAAGGTAGCAATGCAAGGTTTATATGCTTTTTTAAGGGTTACATACTTTCTTCATATCTATTTGCTGAGCAAATTATTTGAGTAGCTGGACTCTATGAAGAAGGTGACATCAAGATAAAAGGAAGACTCATCAACAATCTGAGTTATATAGATGACTCAACCTTCCTTGCTAAAAATGAGGAGGACTTAAAGCATTTGTAGCAGAAAATCAGACTCTTGTCTTCTGTATAGATTAAAGCTCAACCTCAAAATTCTCACCACTTCATAAATAAGCAATATCATGATAGAAGGAGACAAGATTGAAATTGTCAATTCCTTAATCCTGAGTGTTAGAATGGCACAAGATAGGACAGGATTTAAGCCTGTGTCTCATAAGATTGCATCTAACAACTACCACTGCTCCATAGGAGAGAAGATAGACTTTTCTGTAGAGATTTACAGACTTGGAAGCTGGACAGAGTTACTTTCTAGAATTAACTCCATGGCTGAGCTTTTATATCTCTGTGTAAGTTATTAGTGTATTGAGAACTGTGGGATTTTGTATGTAGAGTCAAATATGAATAATGGAAAAATTAACAATTCTTACTTTATGGCCATATGCACAAATATAATTTTCTAAGGCTTTTGTCACATACTTAAATGTTAGTTTTACAGAATCTTCTTTACCATTCACATTTATGTTGTTATTATTATTAATGTATAATTACAAAGGATGGTTTTTGGAAATTATATGTTGTCATTGTCATTGTAGTTGTCAACCAACAGATCAGAACCAACCCATATCTGACCCTCTGGTGGATTTTAATCATAAGAAAGTTAATCATAAGAAAAGAGATTGCCTATCTTCCTCTCATGAAATAGCTGATGGCCTCAAACAATGTGCCTTTGGGATTGTAAGGCAACTTCTTACCTCTAGGCCATTAGAGCTGTCATCAAATGAAATTACAGATCAACAAAGGCATTTTTTACCATCTGAATCTTGTGTCCTAGTGGTAGAAAGATGTTCTGCTGACCCAAAGCAGATGGTTTCTCTATAAAAGAAAGGTGGACAGCCTCCTCCTGTGCAATTTACAGTCTCTGTTAATTAAACACATTGGTGAGTCAGTTTTGACTAGAGTTAGTCATAACTTGACAAATATGATTTGTTGCTTTGATACTTGATACTATATGTAATTAAAATTTAAAATAGAATACAGATACCAACTCATATTATTATGCTTCACAAATGTTGTGAACTTTATGGCAACCTCATATTAATAATATTTATTATCACTGTTTCTCTTTTACATTTTGGTAATTCTTCATACATTTAAAACTATTTCAGAATATTATTGTATGTGTCATAGACAACAGTTTAGAATCAAAGTAACTTTTATATTCACTTGTTCTTGTTATTATGTACCTTATTGTGTACTGAACCCATAGCTGACCCTCCAGTGGATTTTCAGTTACAGTTACTCACACAGGAGATTTCCCATCCTTCTTCTGTGGAACAGCTGATGGATATGAACCACGTGCCTTTGGGATTGAAGTGAAGTTTCTATGACTTCCTGTATAGCTATATTAAATGTATTTTTGGAACAAATCTATAATATCTCTAAATTAGACATATAGACATGCCATGACCAAGTTCTGGTTTCACTTGTCCTCTGTAACCTTTAAAAAAGAACTGTGAGAGTGTTATGTTACAGTGGAATATGTGGTTTTTAAACTTTGTTATTTTTTATTTTATACTGGTTAACTTATAAATTTTATAAAGTTCATATACACTGTACAGTGGAATATGTTTTGACTTTATTATCACTCTAATTTTTACATACTTGATATGAATGAATGAAGAAATATAGAAGAAAAAGTATTATTATGATTTACTTTCTTCAGTATTTTTCTTTTAAATACAGTTGTATGCAGATGTCATTTTTGAACATTACTATTATAGGATAAAATTGACAATGTTGAATTAATCTTGTTCCTCTTTAATAAAAATAGCTGTGATGTGCAGTCAGCCACCTCAAGTGCAGCATGGAAAAGTGGAGGGGACAGATTTCCACTGGGGCTCCAGTATAAGTTACAGTTGTGTGGATGGCTACCAGCTCTCTCTCTCAGCCATTCTCTCCTGTGAAGGTCGTGGGGTGTGGAAAGGAGAGATTCCTCAGTGTCTGCGTAAGTCCATCAGCAATGTGTTCTACTACCCACAAGTTTGCAGGAAGACTAATATGTGCACTCTAAATTTATAATCTCAGGAAAATAGACAAGGATAACTTATAGCTGTATTCAAATATAAAAAAATTGAGTTTACATACTTTCTATTTGGTGTCATATGTGCTTAATAGTTAAGCCTAATTGTTTAGCAGAAGCTAGTTAAACTAGTGGGTTGTGTTAACTCAATCCAGGAAAACCCAACTTTCATTTATGAATGTGAACTTTTGGTTCTATAAATCCTTTGCTTAGTTTTCATTGTTTTCAATAGCTGTATTCTGTGGAGATCCTGGCACTCCTGCAGAGGGAAGGCTTATTGGGAAAACTTTCACCTATAAATCTGAAGTCTTCTTCCAGTGTAAATCTCCATTTATACTGGTGGGATCCTCCAAAAGAATCTGCCAAGCTGATGGCACATGGAGTGGCATACAGCCCACCTGTATAGGTAATAATTTTTAACCCATTTTTTTCAGGTTTTATTAATATTTTTATCATTCATATACATTGTATTTCATGCATGTACATTGTGTTCCATAGAGTTATTAATTTACATTTTATTTTGTTCATTTATAGTATGGGTTTTTTTAAAAAATTTAGGTTGTTTATTTTTCATTTCAATGAATATCTACAGAGATTTTGGGATTCCATTCATTCATTGTTGCACCCTTCTCCCCGCACAAACCCCTTCCCCCCCCCATTTGCTCCTCTCCTTGAAAAGCAAAAGAAAAACTCCCTCATTGGTACACAATCCCCCCCCCACCTCCCCAAACCCCACCCCCTACCCCCAAATATAATCCACTCTGCAACCCTCATTGCATACTCCTACGATAAAAATAATGCCCTAAAATATAATACTTTTAGACTATTCTCTCCCCCATAGACTTCAATGCCATAAACATATTTCATCCAGTAATAATTTTAATATGGACTTGTAAATATATTGTGATAAGGATATCATATTTCAGTAACTCATACAATGTGGCTACAAACATGACATTTCCATAGGAAGTAATATACTTTGTGTAATCACTATTAGCTAAATGAATTTGCACTCTGCTAAACAGTAGATAAATTTGGAAACTTTCAAAGTTTTCTAAATTGTACACTAAATGTTGACTAAATTTTTCCGTTTTCAATCTATCTCATCAGAAAACTATACATTTTGGTGGAAAGACAGTTGCCAATACAGTAGCTATTATTCCAAAGTATTTGAGTCCATTATTTTGGCTGTTCTTAGGTCAAGTTGATATCCAAATTCTCGATCCTACATACAACAGAAAAATTCCTGCTCGATCTTACGTTATCCTTACTATCATTGCTAAGTTTGAGCTAATCATTGCAGTTCTTGTACCAATCCACTGTGCTGAGAGGCTTTCTCTTTTTAAACCGGCCCTGTGCTTTAAAAACCACGCTGTCCTTCTCTAGGAACTAGCCTCTACTGACTAGTAAGAGATGAAATTTCAGTATCTTTGTATCTATTAATAGCATTCTGACTTCACTACTTCCAGGACAGATTTTCTATCTGACTATGATATAGTCAATATTCTTGACAATCATTGTAATCAAAACACGTTAATTCTTACTCAGTCTTCTTATCCATTGTTCAGGTTTCACATGCATATCATATAGTTGAAAATATCACGGCTTGTGTTAGGTGAACTTTAGTGTTCAAAGTAATTTCTTTCTCCTCAATCAAATATATCTTTTAAAATTTTTAATTGTCACTTCCATAGAAGATAATTGTGGATTTAAGTAAAAAATAATCCTTGACAACTTCAATCTTTTCTCAATTTATTTTAATGCTGTTTTTTCATTCAATTGTAAAGATTTTTATTTTCTTTGTGTTGAAGTGTAATCCATACTGAAGGCTGTAGTCTTTTCCATAAATACTTGTTTTCATTTATAAGGCCATCTTCTCACTTAGTAAACTGTATTGTTAGCAATAATTAAGAATATTGCGGAAAAGAATATTGGAAATAACTGTCTGGTGAGTTTACGGTATGAGAATAAAATTTACAAATCAGAGTAGACACTATGTATGCCTAAAGCCTCTCTTTTTAGGGTAAGCTTCTACCTCAAGGAAGAGTTCATATAGATTTTTTTTATTTGTTTGAACTCATACTGTTAGCACTGTATAAGAATCCATCATTTATTATTCTTCCTCACATAACTCACAACTGTCAACTCAAGCCTTCTTTCTGATTTTACTTTGTTTGCTGAACATTATTGAAAGGATAAGAACATGGTATTTACATTTTATAATTTTTTTTTAAAAACCTCATAAAATTGTTACTACTAAAAGATGAAGATATTTAAAATACAATTAGAAAATCATTTCATTGAAACACTTATTAATTTTTAAAAATATTTACTGTTATTCAACAGAAATTATCACTACTTAACATTATTAGATGCCATCATGTTTAATATGACCCATAAGTGACCCTATGAAGAACAGATTGAAACCCTGCCCTATCTATAATGTGTGATCTTCACAGTCTCCACATGCTCAAGCTCATTGTTGTAATCACTATGCCAATTCATCTATGGAGAATCTTCCTTAGTCTCCAACACTCTCTGCTTTCACCCTCATGATATCTTTTTCTAAGTCCTTGGGCCCCGTGACATGTAATCAAATTACATGAAACAGTTTCAACATCCTTGCTTCAAAGAGCATCCTAGTTGCTTCCCCCACCCCCCTTTTCTTGTTTTCTTGGCAGCCAATAGTATAATACTACTCTTTGGCAACACCCAATTCAAAGACATTGATACTTCTTTATAACTTATACAACTTTCACGTGCATAAGTAATTGGAAATACCATAGCTTGAGTCTGATGTGTCCTTGCCATTTAGTACTTTAAAAGGACTCTAAGACAGCAGATTTTCCCAACACAACTTTAAACCATTTTTTAAGATTTTTAATGAGAATTTACAGAAAGGATGGGTTTTCATTCATTCATTCATTGATAAACCTTTTCCTCCTTTTCTCTTTTGATTTCTTGACTGCTGCTTCCATAGATATTGTTAATCCAAGTAAAATGAAATCCTTGTCAACTTCAATCTTTTCTAATTATCATGTTGTTATTTCTACTTAATGGTTACCTCTATATCAAAATCTTTTTCTAATATATTAATTATTACAAATACAAATTATAAAAAGCTATTTCTCTTTATTTTATACTAACAAATACAGGACAACAAATTTAAAAAAAAATAATTGTGCCTATTTGCTTTCATCCTGCGTTTTTGGAAAATGTAACCTGTTGGTTTATTTTTAGCTTTGAAGAGTTAAATCGACTTCTCATTTTGAAATCCTAAATAAAAATGTCAGGAATTTTGAAATGACATATTGAGCAACCATATAAATTGGTAGTACATGGAAACTTTAAACACCAAATTATTTTAATAGTTAACTACTAAAAGTAGTTTAACAACATAATGCGTCAATAGAGAAAAAATCAATCAGAAAATAAAAAGTACGTTAATTTCTCTCATCATGTGCCATTCTTTTTATTTTACGAAATTATCTTATCGTTGTTATTGTTAGGATTATCCACAGAAAAATAATGAATTATGAATGTGGAATTCCTTATGTGGAATTCTTTAACTTTGATTATATTTCCAAGTTCATCTTCATCCTCTATTTTTTTTTTTTGTTTCATCCTCATTCATACGAACTTTCTTCCCTCTAAGTTTCTATCTGGTCTTCTGAGTTGCTGTCAGTCACTCCCACTTATACAAAAAAGATATTGCATGGAAAAAATTGAAAGTCTAGTAAAACATTAAATGCTAATTACTCAGATGTCCTGACAAAGGAAAATAAAAATATGCTTTAATTTTTAGCTTTCATTAAAACTATTTTATACATTTGTCAAAGGAAAAATTACCTCAGTCTTTTAAGACATTTTGTGGAAAAGTCACATTTCCTATATTAACTATATACTTCCTCTAATAACCACATTTTCTAAAAAATACCTTTGGTTTTCATTGTGAATTTCAGATCCTGCTCATAATGCCTGCCCAGATCCTGGTACCCCACACTTTGGAATACAGAATAGCTCTAGAGGATATGAGGTATTATGGTTTTATTTCATTGCATCTTTCGTACACAAAAAATGGAAAATATATCTAAACGTAGATATAAATTTTTATATAACCTGTCTTATTCATGTTTTATTTGGGGCAAATAGAATACAATGAGTATTTTGTATATGGTTTTTATTGTCAAGATTAAGATAACTGTGTGTATTTGTCCATATATTTGCAATTGCTAGATTAATTTATTTCAGAAAAAAACATGTTTAAAAACCTATGATTGTGTGTGTAATTAACATGGTATTTTTTTAGAGAATGGTTATATGTCACTAAATAGCTGCACAAAAAAATATTCCATATGATGTCTTGATAGAGTACACAAAAGATAGTAAATTCTAAAAGAAAAAAGAAAAAGATCAGAAAGTATATTCAAGCTCCTACAGGCTAAACTTACTTTTGTAGTGTGTTTTCCATAGAATATCTGAAAATTGCTTGAGTGATTAGCATATTTAATATCACTTATGATTGCTCATTTGACTTTTTAATATAAAGTACATTAACAGTTCAGTTAATATTGGAGGACTATCCGAAAATGGAAGGTAATAAAGCTTGAAATAAAATTTGTTAACCATCATAATGAAGTTACTTAATGGCTCTTTGATTATGTGACTTTGAAAGCCAAAGTTAAATAGGTATTTTCAAGTTATATAGTCTATTGATTTAGGATAAAAATATTTTCCCCTATCCATACCTGTCTTTCCTGAAACAAAATTGTTCCCATTATACTGCTCCTGATAGATATTGGCTATTTCTTCAGAACTCTCTTATATTTTTATAAAGAAAACTCTCATAGCATCCTCATTGGCAAATCTAATACATTAAGCTTCTGGTATATTTATTTTAATATATAAATATTCACTAATATAAATCAAGGACTAATAAAAGATATTCTGTGTGAGTAATGTTCTTAGTGTAAAATGTCAAAAGTTTTGATTATCATTAATTACCACTGTGTTTAGCATGAATATGTTAAAAAACACAATCCTATGGTCGATCTTAGCAAGTTTATGAACAGAAACCCATGGCCATTTAATTGGTTCCTATGCAGAACTATTCCCTAAGATTCCCTAAGGTTCCCTAAGGCTATAAATCTTTCAAGAGGAAACTGACCATCTCCTATAGAACAGTTGGTGAATTCAAACTACCAACCTCCTGATTAGCAGCCAGGTACATCACCTGTGCTCAGAGATATGCAAATTCTACATCTTCCTTATAACAAAATAAAGTGACATTCGCACAAATAAAAATCTTATCAAATAGCATGATATAGTAATAATTTCAATGAAAGAAATTCTAATCATACTACAGTGGAGTGTTCTCAAGTCGTTTCTACAGATTAGAGCATTCTTTTCTTATATGGTTTCCAAAACTGTGAATCTTAACAGCAGTAGATTACTATATCTTTCTCCAGCAGAGTAACAGATAGATTAGAACTACTAATCTTTAAGTTGACAGATGAATTATAAATATATA